TTGGATTTTGTCCTCATTCAGGATCTGTCCATTTTGTTCAGCTGTGCTTGGACAGCATGCAATGAGAGCATTTTCTTCCGTGGGAGCCAGTATCAGAATATACTTCTTAATTTCACTACTAAAATGGAATGTTTGCCCATCTATCAGGTGTTATTATACTAATATGTGTTTGACCCATTAATGCAATAATCCAGGAGAATTTTGATAACCCAGTGAAAAGAAGAGATTGTGCACTACGTATCCTGCTATGTGAAAGCATATCTGCCCAAATGGAGACTGAAAAGAAGGCACCAGCAAGTCCAAGGCCACATACCAAGTGCAACAGTTCAGTCACTGGAGTTCAGAGCTGACGGAGTAAGACTGGCCACTTTTCACTTAAACCTCAGCATCCGCAGTGGTCTGCCAAGCGCTGCTACCTCCGGTCAGTACAGGGCTTTTGAGCCGAGAGACAGCACTGCAGTAATCCCCGAATGTGGAGAGTACTTTTTTCTTTCCTGTATGTGTACTGACACAAGTCCTTGACTTGTGCAGCCTTTGGAATATAGGCAGTTCCTCTTAATGCTTTCTGCAGAATTTATGGAAGCAATTCCATGGGGACCATGACTGCATCTAAGCAGCAGATCAAAGCACTTCGACGTTGCCCAAACAATTCTAAATGGACATATCAACTATGCAGTCCAGTAAGGGGATGGCCATTGCACTCCAGACAAAGTACTTAAGAGCACTCATACTTTCCATTTCAGGCCATAGATGTCATCCCTTTATCCACAAGCTGTGGCAACATACCTACCTTTACCTAAGTGTACCCTCAACCTTATCATAAACCTAAGCTACTTTCCCAGACTCTTTGTGTTTCCTCCCTGAAGGCGGAACATACATCAGCACAGAAGAGCTATCATTCTAACAGGGTGAGCCAGAGAAGCAAAGGAACTGCCAGTTTGGAAAGGCCAGATGCCCAGTTAAGCACAGCCCTCCCTCCCTCCCTTCCTTCCACACACTGAATATGCTGGCACCTTGTTTTTTTAATTTTCCAGCCTTCAAAACTGAGAAATGAACTTTTGTTTAAACCACCCAGTCTATGGTACTTTGCTACAGCAGCCTGAATAGACTTAAGACAACTGGCATGAGTGTCTTTAAATAATCGCTAATTTTTGAAATAGAAGATTGCATATGAAAGATTACTATTTGACTTGTACAACGCAGGTCAATTTTATCACTGACACATGACTTTTGATCTAGATTAAATAACTGTTCTTACCAATTAAATTTGCTCATTTTTCATTCCAAGTTTTCTTACGCATGTCGGAAAAGTAAAGCGGTAGCCACTGATGTGTTGGTATCAATAATAAACACTTCAGAAGTAGAAAATAATGCCAGTTCTGTATCAGTATCAGGTACTTCAAATAGAAAATCAGTTAATTCCAATCATAACTAAAATTTTTTTCATCCAGTTCATGGAACAAAAGCTTTTGGAAGTTCATTTTGTCAAAGATGAATCTTCTGACACTACCGTGAATGCTGTTTTAAGCTGTTATAAAGTGCAACACCAAAGATAAAAGGCTTTGCAGTGAATGTACATTTAACAAAATTTTGGTGTGCACTATAGTGCCATGTTAAAAGTCTTAAAAATTAATAAAACCTATGGAGTAGCAATGTACTTTCTCAGAAGCAATTATGGATCCTGACATTCCTACCTTCCTTATTGCTTCCAAAATGTATTCAGAATGCAAATTTGAGATACTGGTGATGTTGGCAGGCCAGAATGGAAATCAAGCAAGTAGATCAGCCCAGATATCCTCCCCTGAGCCCTTAGCTTCAGTAGCTCCCTTCCTGACACTGATTCAATCATGCAAAATTTATACCAATTCATTCTCCAGACTTTTAAACACTGCAGACCAGTTTCTCTCATTTGAGGTCCATTTTCCAGATCCAACTGTTAGTCTTTTGAGAATGGTGTGAAATGGCTGAATTCAAGTGCTCATCACATGTGTATGAGATACACTGTCTGAAAGCTGCCACCATGAGATATGACCTAGCAGAGAACGCATCCTGGGGGGGATGCTCAGGCCTGACGTTCTCCCAGCTCGTCAAGAGGCTCGTCTTCTTGACGTGACACTCAGGACCACTGAGCCCTTCGACAGAGGTTTTCTTGCAAAGATGACCATCTGTTCTCTCATATCCTCTTTTTATGATATAACTCTCCTCCCATGAGGCCAGAATGATGCTATGGTCTTCCAGCAGCCATGCTGTGAGGAAGCCCAGCCCACAGGGAGGGGGGTCACATGTAAGTTTCCCAGTTGACTACACCCCCTGATATTCCAGGGGACAATCAGCATCAACTGTCAGACCCGTGAGTGAATTAGCCTTCGGGTGGTCTTTTAAGGTCACCTCTCAGATGAGCATTCCCTGCCCAAACAGCAGATTCAGGACCTAAATGCTTATTTCAAGAAAAAAAGGCTTGAGACATAATTCACATATTATATACCCATTTAAAGTGTGTCATTCAAAGTTTTCCAGTGTATTCAATTGCACAACTGTCCATTTTACAACACTTTCATCACCCCAAAAAGAGACCTGTGCTCATTAGGAATTAATCTCCATTTCCTCCCAACACCTGTCCCAGCCTCAGGCTACTACTGATCTTTGTCTCTAATAGATTTGCCTATTTCAGACATTTCATGTAAATCAAATCATACAATATGAGGCCTTTTGAGACTGGCTTCTTTCACTTAGCATAGTATTTTCAAGGAATTGCTGGGTCACACTGTCAGTATTTCATTACTTTATTCCTTTTTATTGCTGAATAGTATTCCATTGTATGAATATGCTTTTTATCTATCCATTCATCAGCTGATTGACATTTGGCTATTGTGGGTAAAATTGTAGTATTTCCAGAGTATCTTGCCTGGCTTTAGTGCATTTGCATATCCTCAGGGATGGAGAGAAGTTCATCTCCATATAAATGGGGAATTACCTGGGCAACTGAGGGCTTACCTGTACCTGAAGGATGAGGGTTGGGGGGCAGTTTTGCTTCTGCCAGAGCAGGAAAGAAAAATGGCCCCAGACTGCAGTTTGTAAGCAATAAATGGATTTTAAACTTTATTTCTCCCTTTGACTGATTTCAGTTTTAGAGGTATTTTGCCCCAGAATTTCCTCTCCCTGGACTTAACAGCTATTAAGGATAATGGCTGCTATTAATAATCACATACAAGTTTTTGTGTGAACATGTTTTCATGTCTCTTGGGTACATACCTAAGGGGTGGAATTGCTGGGTCAAACGGTAACTGTTTTATCTTTTGAGGAACTACCGGACTGCTTTCCAGAGTTGCTGAACTATTTTATGCCCCACTAGCAGTACATGCAGGTCCCAAATTCTCCAAATCCTCAACACTTATTGTCCATCTTTTTAATATAGTCACCCTAGTGGGGGTGAAGTGGTATCATGGTGGTTTTGATTTTTTTTCTGATGGGTAATGATGTTGAGTAGCTTTTCATGTGCTTATTGCCCAAGTGTATATCTTTTTTAAAGAAACGTCTATTCAGATCCTTTGCCTGTTTTTAAATTGGGTTTTCTCTTTCATTATTGAGTTGTTAAGAGTTCTTTATATTATCCTAGATACAAGTTCCTTATGTGATTTGCAAGTATTTTCTTCCATTCTCTGTATTTTTTTTCCACTTTTTTAATTGTATCTTTTGAAAAATACACATTTGAAGTTTTGATAAAGTCCAAATTACCTATTTTGTCTTATTGCTTGTGCTTTTGGTGTCATGTCTATGAAACCATTGCCAACTCAAGATCATGAAGATTTACTCATATTTCAAGAGCTTTGTTTCAGCCTTTACAGTTAGCTCTATGACCCACTGAGTTAATTTTTTGCATTTAGTGTGAGGAAGGGGTCCAGCTTCATTTTTGTGTGTGTGGATACCCAGTTGTCCCATCACCATTTGTCGAAGACTATTCTTTTTCCATTGAATTGTCTTGACTCTTCTCTAAAACCAACTGAAAGAAGGGTTTATTTCTGAGCTCTCATTTCTATTCCATTGATCTATATGTCTTTTCTTATGCCAGTGTCACATTGTCCATTACTGTAGCTTTGTAGTAAGTTTTTAAATCAAGAATTGGGGGATTTATTCCTTTTACTCAAGTTTGTTTTGGCTATTCTGTATCCCTTAGATTTCCATATGAATTTTAGGATCAGTTTGTCAATTTCTGTAAACAAAAAGGGAAATAAAACAACAGCTGGAATTTTGATAAGGATTGCACTGAATTTTTAAATCAGTTTGGGGGATTTTGTCATTTTAAACAATTCAATTATGGGGTGGTATGCTCTGCAATGATAACTGATACACCACCCTGCTTGGGGAAAGCCTCCATTTTATCATGGATAAAGACAAAAGACGTTGACTTGCTTATATAGAGAGTAAAATTTTGTCTGCAAGGTGTCATCCCTCTAGAGAGCAAATGGCACTTTTCTCAGAACAAAGAGTCTGTTAGGTGGTTTTGTCTGGATTTCCAAGTTGAGCACCTTCCTTCACTTCCAGACGAGCAAGCTCCACGTGCTGACTGGCCCCCACTCTCCCCGCCCACTCCGTTCCTGTCCAGGGATGGAATGACTTTTCTGTACGAGGAATGGTTAATCAGCAACCACTAGACCTGGGGTTTCTTTTCTCCTCCAGCCTTGAGTGCCTCTTGCTTGGAGTAGGCATTTGCCCAGGGAAGGGGGAACCTGGCTGACCATGCCCCACCCCCACTCCCAGCTATAGAAGGCCCAGGAATAGGGCTGGAAATCTTAGGGCTGACAAGCCAGGAGGCTTTAGCTAAGACAAAAATAAAGCCAGTGCTGAAACTGAGTGTGTGAAGAATGGTCCACAGTATCTCAGGTTTTACTCTTCTTGGTGGTAAAGCTATGGTAGGATTTTGCCCAAATGAATCAATTTCTAAACATTTTATAAGGTAGTTCTAAATAAGAGTTCAGGGCATATAGCCTCACGTACATTTCTCTTCATTTCTTCTTCTTTTTATTGTGTGTAGGAGAATGAGGGCCACCTCTAGCCCTGTGATGAGAGGTCAGGCTGGATTCAGGACAGGAGGCTGGAGAGCCCTTCCCGAGAGCAGTGCACCCTGAGACCCGCTCACCACCTCTGCCCTCTGAAGACTCCAGCTCAGAGTTCTGCCCCTCTGGCAGCAGGTCCCCAGCAGGATGGAAACAAGTTGCCAACAGTCAAGGAGACAAGTTTGTGGGGCTCACTCAGGGCCTGGGCTACAGCCAGGTCAAGGCCTGCTTTATTCCGACCAGAATTGCCAAAGTAGGGCTTAGCCCCAGCCTTTGAGGTCAACTGGGAGCCAGGCAGGAACCTAGAAAAATCTGCTTAGATCCAGACAACCAAGAAAGACCACACTAAATGAGCTTAAAGCAAAGACCAGCCAGGGTGAGAGAAGAGGAAAGGTGGCAAAAAAGATAAGAAAGAAACCTTTGGCAGGCCGAGCCGTGTCGAGGCCTAGCGGAAGTACTTGGGACATTCATGGGCGACGAGGTGCCAGGCTTGATCAAAGGCCTGCACGATGGCTGGCTCCAGGGGTCCTTCCTCTGATGCTGCCAGGTTCTGTGCCAGCTGCTCCAGGCTGGACATGCCTAGGATGACCGCATCCCCGTGAGCACCCTGCAAGGAGAGATGGCCAGATGTCAACACACTAGCACACTACAGTGACTCAGTCACACACACTCCCCTTCCCAGCCTTGACCCTGCTGAGACTTGGGCTCTGGTGTTTGTTTATGCCATATATCATTCTACAAAGAACCTATGGTGCTTTCAACAATCGCAACTATGACTTAGCTGTAACGCTGCTCATCCTCAGACAGACCTAAGTTCAGAGACCAGTTCTGCCACTCAGCAGCTGTGTAAGTTTGGCTTAATTACTTAACCTCTCTGAGACTCAATCTTCTGTGGTTATGAGAATGAGAAATCATGTGAAGCACTTAGCTCCCATTTACTGAAAACCTACCAAATACACACCAGACACTGCAGCTGTGTAAGGCTGAAGCAGGAGAAAAGCTTTAGCTGGAAAGACAGAGGAAAACCCCAAAGAGTGAGGGAAACTAGAGCGCCCAAGAGAGGAGTGAGACTAATGGGTTTTGATGAATTTTCTACCTCTTTCACTGTTGTTCAGACCCAAGGTTCTTCATCAGTAAAACTAGGATAATTACTTCCTATGGCCTAAGTAATAATTAATTCCATGTTTGCAAGCCCCCATCACAGGGCCTGGCACTTACACAGCGACAATGAAGTGACAAAGAACCCATGAGAAGTGGAACAGAGAAATTTCAGAGGAAAAACTATTTCGAAGTCACATAATGGTCATCTGGCTCCCCTGAAAGGGCAGAAGCAGAGCCTCCAGGGGTGGCTGGGTTACCTGGAGCTGTGAGTGGTGGTACATCCATCGCAGGGCGGCTGAAGTCATGCTGGGGGCACGGGGGCCGTAAGTGGCCTGCAGGGCCCTCTCTACCAGGGCAATGGCCTCGAAATGGTGCTCCTTCCAGAAGCTGGACAGGTGCGGGCGGGGTGACACAGGGGTCAGTACCAACCAGGGCAGCTGTGCCCACCCCAATCCTGCAGTACAGGGGGGCTGGTGTCCCCTCTACCCATAGGTCTCCTCCTTTATTGGGCAGCAGAACCACCCAGGATGCTAGCCCCTCACCAGAGGCCCCAGTGACACCTTTATTCTTAAGAACTCATCAAGCCTGCCCTTCCTTTCCCTAGGGAGACAAAGGCAGTACTTCAGGGACTCAGACCCAGGCCTCCTGAGCCTCAATCCAGGGCTCACTCTGTCCTTCTTGGTTGGTGATAAGCACGTCTTAGGGAAGCACTATAAAACAGAAGACCTGGCAGAAGGTCCTGGGATCCTTATTTCCTCATGGAAGTCCCAAGAAAACAAGAAGAATGCCACAGAGGGTTTGGTAATTCCTGTAGGAATCAAGAGGGGTAGGTCCAGGCAGCAAGGGAAGACCTAAGGCCCCCAGGAAAGCAGCCCAGAACTTCACCATTTCAAATAAAGGGGACCCCCACCCCACCATCCTGAGGCAGACTCCCCGGCTCACCGTTTCCTGTAGGTCTCAGCCCAGCTATTCCCAAAGAAGCGGCCCACAGGTTGCTTCCCGTCCTTGTCCTCATACCTGTACTTGCCAGTCAGCAGGCCCCCTGTAGGACGGCTGCCATCAGATCCACTGGCCCACACTGCCCCCAAAGACTGCTCTGGCCTGGGGAGATTGTTGTTGGGGTACGAGGGACGGAGGGCACAGCCCAGCCTCTTGTCAAACCCTTCCCTGCTTCCCGGGTCCGGGGCTGGGCATGCACTGGCTCGGACAGGCAGAGATGGCCAGGAATGTCCCCCCCGACCACGGTGGGAGCCTGTTCCAACAGCAGCCCGTACCAGCCAAAGGGTTGTAGGCGTAGAACCTCAGTCCAAAGTGCCTGAGGCAGGGGAAGAGCTCCACTTCCACCTGCCTGGTGGTGGCGTTGTACATGCCCTGCAGGAAGAAAGGGCCTGATGGAGAGGGTGCATATGCCAAGAGAAGGGAACCCAGCCTTCTTCTTTTAAAACCTTCAGTCAAAACCTGCCTAGGATTTCAGCAATGATTTTCAAAACCACTAGTGGTAGAGAGGATGGGGAGATGGTGTTGGGCCCAAGGGACACCAGACTGGATATATCATTCCACAAATGTGTGTGCGCCAACTGTGGGCTGGACACAGGATTTCCAAATATGATCAAGTCCAGCAAGGTCTCTGCCTCTGCCTCCAAGACATGTTAAGAGTCGAGTTAGAAATGCAGCCAGAAGCCAGATGATCACAATACAGGTGGCTTTTGTGATCACAACAGATGCTCCCACTCACTGAATGTATGAAGATGAGGCCTGGAGACTGGAGGTTCGCCTTGGGCACTGGGAAAGGCTCCCAGAGGAAGGGCCCTCTGAGACCTGGCCACTTCCACCAGAGAGGGGGAGGAGCTCCAGGCTGACAAGCGCAGAGTGAAGGAGCGGGAAGGAAGGGCCAGAGGTGTGCACACAGGCAGGATGGGGAACCAGGGCCAGGGCAGGTGGGTACCCGCTGGCTGGGCTAAAGAGCTTGCATGTCACCCTGGGGTCATCTGGGAGCCATCTACAGGCTGTGAGGAGGGGAGCAGAGAGGGCACAGGGGCAATCAGAGGGCCAGCAGGACTGAGGTCTCTGCAGCCCTGACCCTTACCTGGTATACAGTGGGCAGGACCCAGCCATTGCTCTTGCAGAGGGTACATATCTCGGCCACCTCCCAGGAGGCGTAGTTGGAGAGGCCAAGCTCGACAAACTTGCCCTATAGGGAAGACACAGTGGTCAGAAGCCAGTGCAGCAGTGGTCAGAACCAGGAACAGGAGATCGGGGTGGGGGATCCTGAGAGGTGGGGACATTCTTGCCTCCAGGACTACCCTGGCGACACCACTGTCCTGGATGACAGGCCAGAGGAGACCACCTTCTGGAGTTCAGGGGGTTGGCCTCACCTCCTGGTGTAGCTGGTGGCAGGCACGCAGTGTCTCTTCCACAGGGGTGCCATGGTCCGGTGCATGTAGGTAGAAGAGGTCCACCCGGGGACACTGCAATCGTTTCAGGGATGTCTCCAGCTGGGACCGGAGACTGTCAGGCTTCAGCGATTTCCCTTCCCAGGGATTGGCCTTGGTAGCGATTTTCACTTTGGGGGGAGAATGTAACGGGTGTAAGAGACTTATAACCACTTACCAGCCATGCAACCCTAGCTAGATTACTTAAATTCTCTGAGCCTCTGTTCTCTAATCTGTAAAATGGGGGGTATACCATTGGAACTGTCCTCATAGGAAGATCATGATTAAATAATGTCTTATATGTAAGCTTTTTATGTAAATCACTATTACTAGTCATCAAACTGCTGGTTATGACAGACCTTGCATCAGAGATGCACTAAACTAAATAGAGATGAACTAAATACATGCAATCACTGCCCTCAAGGAGCTCAAAGTCCAGAAGGTGATGTTAGCATGTAAATGCAGTAAAAAAAAATCAGCTGGTGCTAAAGGAGCCCAGAGTAGAGGTGTGCAGCCACCCTGGGAATTCCAAGAAAGGCTGGAATGATCCTGGAGCTGAGTCTGTAAAAATGAGCCACAGCCAACAAGGGGTGGGAAGCACATGCCAGAGCGTGCGAACATGGGCAAAGCCACAAGGACAAGAAAACAGTATGGGAAGGGCCATACCTGCAAATCTGAGTTTTAAGAGCACAGACTCCAGGCAGGGAGCACTGGGATGAGACAAGAGAAGGGGCACAGACTTAGACCCAAGGTTCTTCATCAGTAAAACTAGGATAATTACTTCCTATGGCCTAAGTAATAATTAATTCCATGTTTGCAAGCCCCCATCACAGGGCCTGGCACTTACACAGCGACAATGAAGTGGAACCCATGAGAAGTGGAACAGAGAAATTTCAGAGGAAAAACTATTTCGAAGTCACATAATGGTCATCTGGCTCCCCTGAAAGGGCAGAAGCAGAGCCTCCAGGGGTGGCTGGGTTACCTGGAGCTGTGAGTGGTGGTACATCCATCGCAGGGCGGCTGAAGTCATGCTGGGGGCACGGGGGCCGTAAGTGGCCTGCAGGGCCCTCTCTACCAGGGCAATGGCCTCGAAATGGTGCTCCTTCCAGAAGCTGGACAGGTGCGGGCGGGGTGACACAGGGGTCAGTACCAACCAGGGCAGCTGTGCCCACCCCAATCCTGCAGTACAGGGGGGCTGGTGTCCCCTCTACCCATAGGTCTCCTCCTTTATTGGGCAGCAGAACCACCCAGGATGCTAGCCCCTCACCAGAGGCCCCAGTGACACCTTTATTCTTAAGAACTCATCAAGCCTGCCCTTCCTTTCCCTAGGTAGACAAAGGCAGTACTTCAGGGACTCAGACCCAGGCCTCCTGAGCCTCAATCCAGGGCTCGCTCTGTCCTTCTTGGTTGGTGATAAGCACGTCTTAGGGAAGCACTATAAAACAGAAGACCTGGCGGAAGGTCCTGGGATCCTTATTTCCTCATGGAAGTCCCAAGAAAACAAGAAGAATGCCACAGAGGGTTTGGTAATTCCTGTAGGAATCAAGAGGGGTAGGTCCAGGCAGCAAGGGAAGACCTAAGGCCCCCAGGAAAGCAGCCCAGAACTTCACCATTTCAAATAAAGGGGACCCCCACCCCACCATCCTGAGGCAGACTCCCCGGCTCACCGTTTCCTGTAGGTCTCAGCCCAGCTATTCCCAAAGAAGCGGCCCACAGGTTGCTTCCCATCCTTGTCCTCATACCTGTACTTGCCAGTCAGCAGGCCCCCTGTAGGACGGCTGCCATCAGATCCACTGGCCCACACTGCCCCCAAAGACTGCTCTGGCCTGGGGAGATTGTTGTTGGGGTACGAGGGACGGAGGGCACAGCCCAGCCTCTTGTCAAACCCTTCCCTGCTTCCCGGGTCCGGGGCTGGGCATGCACTGGCTCGGACAGGCAGAGATGGCCAGGAATGTCCCCCCCGACCACGGTGGGAGCCTGTTCCAACAGCAGCCCGTACCAGCCAAAGGGTTGTAGGCGTAGAACCTCAGTCCAAAGTGCCTGAGGCAGGGGAAGAGCTCCACTTCCACCTGCCTGGTGGTGGCGTTGTACATGCCCTGCAGGAAGAAAGGGCCTGATGGAGAGGGTGCATATGTCAAGAGAAGGGAACCCAGCCTTCTTCTTTTAAAACCTTCAGTCAAAACCTGCCTAGGATTTCAGCAATGATTTTCAAAACCACTAGTGGTAGAGAGGATGGGGAGATGGTGTTGGGCCCAAGGGACACCAGACTGGATATATCATTCCACAAATGTGTGTGCGCCAACTGTGGGCTGGACACAGGATTTCCAAATATGATCAAGTCCAGCAAGGTCTCTGCCTCTGCCTCCAAGACATGTTAAGAGTCGAGTTAGAAATGCAGCCAGAAGCCAGATGATCACAATACAGGTGGCTTTTGTGATCACAACAGATGCTCCCACTCACTGAATGAATGAAGATGAGGCCTGGAGACTGGAGGTTCGCCTTGGGCACTGGGAAAGGCTCCCAGAGGAAGGGCCCTCTGAGACCTGGCCACTTCCACCAGAGAGGGGGAGGAGCTCCAGGCTGACAAGCGCAGAGTGAAGGAGCGGGAAGGAAGGGCCAGAGGTGTGCACACAGGCAGGATGGGGAACCAGGGCCAGGGCAGGTGGGTACCCGCTGGCTGGGCTAAAGAGCTTGCATGTCACCCTGGGGTCATCTGGGAGCCATCTACAGGCTGTGAGGAGGGGAGCAGAGAGGGCACAGGGGCAATCAGAGGGCCAGCAGGACTGAGGTCTCTGCAGCCCTGACCCTTACCTGGTATACAGTGGGCAGGACCCAGCCATTGCTCTTGCAGAGGGTACATATCTCGGCCACCTCCCAGGAGGCGTAGTTGGAGAGGCCAAGCTCGACAAACTTGCCCTATAGGGAAGACACAGTGGTCAGAAGCCAGTGCAGCAGTGGTCAGAACCAGGAACAGGAGATCGGGGTGGGGGATCCTGAGAGGTGGGGACATTCTTGCCTCCAGGACTACCCTGGCGACACCACTGTCCTGGATGACAGGCCAGAGGAGACCACCTTCTGGAGTTCAGGGGGTTGGCCTCACCTCCTGGTGTAGCTGGTGGCAGGCACGCAGTGTCTCTTCCACAGGGGTGCCATGGTCCGGTGCATGTAGGTAGAAGAGGTCCACCCGGGGACACTGCAATCGTTTCAGGGATGTCTCCAGCTGGGACCGGAGACTGTCAGGCTTCAGCGACTTCCCTTCCCAGGGATTGGCCTTGGTAGCGATTTTCACTTTGGGGGGAGAATGTAACGGGTGTAAGAGACTTATAACCACTTACCAGCCATGCAACCCTAGCTAGATTACTTAAATTCTCTGAGCCTCTGTTCTCTAATCTGTAAAATGGGGGGTATACCATTGGAACTGTCCTCATAGGAAGATCATGATTAAATAATGTCTTATATGTAAGCTTTTTATGTAAATCACTATTACTAGTCATCAAACTGCTGGTTATGACAGACCTTGCATCAGAGATGCACTAAACTAAATAGAGATGAACTAAATACATGCAATCACTGCCCTCAAGGAGCTCAAAGTCCAGAAGGTGATGTTAGCATGTAAATGCAGTAAAAAAAAATCAGCTGGTGCTAAAGGAGCCCAGAGTAGAGGTGTGCAGCCACCCTGGGAATTCCAAGAAAGGCTGGAATGATCCTGGAGCTGAGTCTGTAAAAATGAGCCACAGCCAACGAGGGGTGGGAAGCACATGCCAGAGCATGCGAACATGGGCAAAGCCACAAGGACAAGAAAACAGTATGGGAAGGGCCATACCTGCAAATCTGAGTTTTAAGAGCACAGACTCCAGGCAGGGAGCACTGGGATGAGACAAGAGAAGGGGCACAGACTGAATCCCAAAGGGTTTTCTCAAATACCATCATTCAAAGGTTTTAAGACTGAACTGGTCAGCTATGCTCACTCTGGCTGCAGTATAGACACAGAACTTGAGGGGCAGGCCTGGAAACAGGAAGACAGTGAACAGGCTACTTCAAGAATTCGGGATAGAGATGTAGTTGCCTGAGCAGGGGCTGCTGGCAGAGATCAATTTGAGAGACAGGTAGAAGGCAAAATGAGCGGAAGGCAATGATGGCTTCCCCTTCCCCTTCCAGACTCACTGAAGCATGCACATCCACACATTTACTGTGGAGACACAACCCCCACGAGAACGAGAGAGTGTTCTGCCATGCAAGCAGCTTAGAAGGCTACAAAGGATGCTGGTGGGTGGGTGGCTGATGGGCGGACGGCTTCTGCACTTTTCATACTTGGCAAAGGCAGGTCAGCAGGTCAGAGGCGAGTCATCAGACCACTTGGGTTGTGGAAGAAAACAGTCCCACAGCTTCTCATGCAGATTTTCTCCATTCCCCCACATTGCCCAGTTTCTCTGCATTCTTGGTGTAAACTTTGCCTCAGGTCCAACCTGAGGACTTTGGCTCAGTGAGCACCTGGACTCAAAGAAGGAAGCAGGGAAGGGCTGGGGGAAAAAAACCAACGTACAAACAAAATTTGCATTATCAAGGAGAGGTAGTGAACCAGAAAGTATAGACCGGAGATACATATTCCCATGCATGTTCCCTTTACAGTTCCTTCAGATCCACCAAGCTATGTATGAATCCAAGGAGGGCCCAGAGGGAACCCCACACAAGGGAAGGAAGAGTGCCAGGGTGGAAAAGAGGAGACAGTGTAGTAGTAATGATTATAGCTAACGTTTACTGGGCCCCGCCATGTGACAGGCACCCTCCTAGGCACTTCCAATGGCATCAGGCTAAGGAGGGACAGTCCCACCCACACACATGCTCCACTCAAGCCACACCTGCCCACTGCCCATCCTCCCACACACCAGGCACTTTGCATTTCCAAGCCCAGTCTGCACAGCTATGCCTTCAGCCTCTAATGCTCTGCCCAGCAAACTTCTCCTGGTCCTTTAAGGCCCAGCTCCAGTGTTCTGAGCGTTCCCTAGTGCCTTCCCCAGCCTAGCCTGTCATTCCCTCCGCCCCCCATCCCCACCAAAGTGCTTCCTCTTCTGAGCTCCCCAGCGATCATTTGTTTCAATCCTCCTCATTAGACTCTGAGCTCCCCGGGGGTAGGGCTTTCCCTCCTATAAACCCCTTAACAAAGTCTGTCATGGAGCTATAGGAGTCTCCCACCTCCCACCTCCTCACCCTACCAGCCCTGCTCCCCCAACCCAGTCTGTGGTGTCCCTAGGGCTCTCTCCGAGAAAGTCAGGGATACCGCCAACTAAAACAGAGCAAAGTCTAGGGACAGATGAAAGACCAGGATGATTAAAGGGTGCTCGGGGAGCGCATGAGCGGTGAGGGCAATGGGGAGAGGGGCTAAGGCAGAACACCTGGGTTGGGGCTATGGGTATCTAGCAAGGTTGGAGGGGGCTCTCTGCAGAGCTCTGGAGCCAAGTGCCTCAGAAAAATGCACCAACAAAGTAAAGGGGTGTTAGAAAGCCAAGGACCGGACAGGCTCAGGGCAAAACTAGGGGTTCCCAAGCTGCGACCCCCACAGGGAGTGGAGGGGAAGGTGGTCAGAACAAAGCACTGTCTGGCTGTCCGGGGCTAGATGAACACGGAGACTGAGGTGCTGGGGGTCCACAGAGGGCAGGGTTGCCAGGCAAGATCGGCGCTACGCAAGGGGTGAAGCCGTGGGTCCTGACCGCGGCCGGTGTACTACTGGGGCTGGGTGGGCGCTGCCCGGTGCAGGGATAAAGCAGGGCCCCGGAGCGCGGGCGCCAGAGGCGTTACCTCTGCCGTCGCTGCTGCCCAGCCTGAGCCCCAGGCCGCCCAGGATGCTCTCGGAATGGCCGTCGCTGTACATGTAGGCCGTGTCCAGCTCGTCGTGACCGCGCTCCAGGAAGGCGCGCACGGCCGCGGCACTGGCGGGCAGGTCCATGCGGCGCCCCATTTCCATGGTGCCCAGCACAGTGGCGGGCAGAATTGGGGAGCCCGAAGCGGTCTGCGGCGGCAGAGACATAGCAGCTGCGGCAACTCGAGCCCCGAGCGGTCCCGGGCGACACGCAGATCGGAGTGCGGAGCGAACCACCGCACGGGACGCAGCGCTCAGCATGACGCCAGCGCCTGCGCACTGGGGCGCCTCGGGCCCCGCCCACCCGTGGCTGGGGAGGAGCCGCAAGGGAGGGAGGAGAAGGAGCTCGGCGTCCCGCCCTGCACGCTCGGCTCTTTCGCACCGCCCCCAGGGACCGCCCGCCAAGTGCGCGGCGCAGGAACCGGGACTGCCGGTTCCCCGGCGGGGTAGGGCGGGGCGGGGCTTCGGGTCAGCTGACTCAGGCTTTGGAGACAGAACCGAGAAGCTGGATCCGGCGGTGGCCTCTGACGTGGTGCGTCTGATTTGAGGCTGGGGGCAAACCCGCAGGCTGTGGGGTCGAGACTCTGGGGCTTCCTTACCACATCGTTCCAGTACACTTCTCCAGCCCTCGGACCGTGCTGGGGCTCCTTTCCCTCCATGGGGCGCGAGATCTTGGGCGAGGCTCTGGGTCAGGATTGGGTGGTCCTCGGGAGCCCGTGTCATCGTCGTCCCCACTACTCAGAGGTGATAAGCATGACCTCTAGGACCAGCCTGGGAAGAGATTGGGCTCTGGGTCCCCTTTTCGCCTCCTGATTCTGGCTGACGGGCCCCATCGCTTCCCACTGCCTTGTTTTTCCCTGGGCGGGCCAAGGGAGGGGACCACAGGGTGACTGAGCGCTGACCCCAGCGGCTACCCTGTCATTACGCCCGCCAAACAGGCGGCCCCGCTCTTGGCCGAGTCACCAGGTGGCCAGGAGTGGGTGGTATCCACAGGCTGGGACGCTCCTCCTCTCTGAGTACTTGCCAGGTCTGCAGAGAGCCGGTATTGCCCCCTCCCTACCCCATGCCTAGGACAAGTTTTGGGTATGTACATGGAGAGGCTGGGTTGGAAATGTAAGGACTGGCACGGTCTTGTCCATTCAACACTTAGTGAAGGTCGCCGGGTTGGACTACAGCCAGAACAGTACTGAGTGTTTAATCTGTGGCAGGTACCATTCTAATAGCTTAGCCTAGATTCTCTGCAGTCAGTTTAGAAGGTGGATACTTGCATTATTCCCCTGTTGTACAGATTGGAAGCCTAGGCTCAGTCACTCGCCCAGGAGTGCCACACTTGTAGGCAGTAGGCAGGTCAGTTCCAGAGTGCTTTCTCCTCAACCCTAGGCCACCCTAGCTCACAACTAGATCTTTCTTCTTTTCTTTACTTTCTCTGTCTCTCTTTCTCTCTTGCTCCCTTTCTCTCACCCCCCCCCACCGGCACCCCAACCCTTTCTTTGTCTCTCACCGAATGCTTTCTGAACTTTAGCTGTGCAGCTGGTGTGTATAGGCCCTGAGAATAAGTTCACAGCTACAGTGCAGGGAGAAGAGTGGGTGTGAGGAACAGTGGTGGCTGAGGACAGTGATACCTGTCCTTCGGGTGTGTGAACAGAGGGAGCAGAAGAGGTGACAGGTGTTGCGTGCGGAGCCAGCTCTTGTGAGGCCTCTCTGAGAGGGCAGGTTAGAACTGGGCGTTGGTGTCTCTTTTCCAGGCCCTCCAGGAGGAGGACGTCCTAGGGGAAGTGACAGCATGTGCTGAGCCTGGAGGCCTGAGAATGATTTTTTGCAGCTCTGGGCAAGGGGCAGGAGATGAGGTGGGAAGGGCCATTCTTAAAATACATGCGGGCTTTGCCTCTAGGCATTTGAACTCAACCTGGTAGGCAAAGGTGGACATTTGACCGGGTTCATTGGAAGCGTCTCCCTGACTCAGCTTGGGATCTGGGAGAGGCGCTTGGGTGTGACAGGAGATGCCTTCTCCAGCACAGCCTTTCTCAAAGTGTGGCCATGTACACCAGAATCAGCTGGGGTTGCTTCTTAAACCCAGGTCCCTGATCCCCAGTCCAGGGCACTGATCCTGAATTTTGAACATGTATCCTCCTGCTGTGGTCCTTGTCACACCCATGCATATGGTCAAGCTTTGTGGCAACTCTAGACATCCATTCGCTCCGTGCTGTTTGACCAGGTGGTGGGCCCATTCGCAAAGCCGGGCCTGGGGCCCAGGCTGGCTGCCTCCTTGAGCTTCCCAGTGGCCCTCAGAGGAAGGCCCCTTCAGTTCAAGGCTCAGCTGTGTTTCTGAGTGTCCTGTGCAAGGACGGAACCACCACCCAATGCCCTAGACCCCGTGATCCAAAGTAATTTCCTGCAGACACCCCTCCCCTCGTCTGGCATGTATCCCCCTGTCCTCCCTAACCTGGTGAAAAGAGGGAGTGAGAGAATGGCCTCAGGGTGGTTGCACTACTGGACTCCTCCTCAAAAGGGTCACCGTCATGCACTGGGTCAGGCTCTGGGCTAAGAGCTTATGTGCATTTCATCTGCACACAACCTCAAAGAGTGTCATTATCCTCAATTTACACACAGACTCAGGTTACTCACTTGCTCAAGGCCATGCAATCTTATCTGTAAAATGGGGACAGTATCCCCCACCTCAGGGAAACTACAAGAATGGCAATGTGCTAATATGAACCACAGTGGCACGTTCAGAATCCATAGCTAGGGTGGGGGAAGCAGTCCAACTGGGGGTGGTCTGGTGGACAAAAGGACTTGATTTGAAATGCCTTTAGCATTGCAGAGATACAGTTCTTACCTGGACTGTTGACCTGGGGTGGCCTTACAGGTACTGCTAGCAGGACATCAGATAAAAGGTTCCAACATCAGCTCTGCTGAAGGTCATCAAGATGGGTTGCTAGGATATAGTAATTCAGCCTCTCTTACCAGGCCCTGGAGATACTTCAGTGAAGCAGGCAGACAGTGACCTGGGGCGCCCTGATCCCAGCTCTGGGTCTCTGCCCCCGGCTGGTCACATTAGAGCTGAGAGTTTGGAGTTCCCTGACCAAACAAGCTGAGTCGCTTCCTTTCCGTCCCTGAAGCTCCCAGGTTGCTGCGATCTCAGCAGTTCCACGGGTCCAATCAGAGTGACTTAGTTCATTAGGGCTGCTTAACAAAACACCATAGACCGGGTGGCGTATAAACCACAATTTCTCTGTCACAGCTCTGGAGGCCTGGAAGTCCAAGGTCAAGGCAGGGGGAGGTTCACTGTCTGGTGAGATCTACCTCCTCGTTCATAGGTGACTGTCTTTTCACTGTGTCCTCACATGGCAGAGGGGCAGGGGAGCTCTGTGGGTCTCTTTGTTAAGAGCACCAATGCCACTTATGAGGGCTCCGTCCTCCTGGCCCAAGCACCTCCGAAAGGCCCCACTTCCCAAACCACACACTGGGGGTCAAGTTTCAGCAGATGGACTTCGGGGGCACACAAGCCTTCGGTCTGTAGCGCAGGGCGCTGCTTTATGGAGCTCCTGCTAGGAGGAGGAACTGAAGGTGGATGGAGAGAGCCTCAACCCAGGAAAGCCCCCTGAGTGCAGCGAGAAAAGGGGAAGCCCACCTGCTGGCTGCTCAAGAAGCTGAGCAGCCATGCCAGACCACAGGAGTCTGCCATGCCCGGAACAGAAGCACCCGGGCAGCCTGGCAGGGCTGTGAGCAGGGGTTTGCGCCCCAGTCCTCACCTTGACTCCCAGCTCTACTGCTTCCTGGCTGTGGGCAAGTCACTTCCCTGGTTCCCCTGACATATCAGCAGCCCCCACTTCGTAGAGTTAATGTAAGGACAAAATGGGTAAGCGCTGCACGGTGCTTAGCCCAGAGCTGGCCGAGAGCTCAGAAACCAGAAGCTATGATGAGTCTCCCGGTGGAGACGGCACCAGCCGGCCACTCTGCTTTGTCACCCTTCTCTGGGGCTGCCGCACAAGCCGGGACTGCTCCGGTCCCTGTGCAGGGTGCCTGGGCACCTGGAGGGGCCTTCCCTGCCTGCCTCTGCCATCATCTTCTGGCTGTCGTTGCGAGAACGGGGCAGTGGCTCTGGACTCCTTGCCAGCAGGTGTCCCACACATGCGAGCTTGAATCCCAGCCACCTGTGCAGCCCCGGGGCTCACTCGGTCCTCACTCTCCACTTACCTCATCCGACCATGTTAGGGGCCACACTCCTTCAAATGAGGTGATGTACTTAGCGGGCCTGGTCTCAGCAGAACCTCGTGAAGTATAACAAAAGATTGGAAAGAATCCAAATGTTCACGAGTTAAAACAAAGCGCCATTGTTTGAGGGCTGAGTTCTTGCCCTAGATTTAGGAGCTCACGTAATCCTCAGAACAGCTAAGAGGGAGGCACTGTGTTTACAGATGAGGAAACTGTGGCATAGAGGGGTTGAGTCGCTTGCCAGAAAGTGGTAAAGCTGTGATTTGATCATACTCGGCCCTGACCATAAATCTCTGAGCTCTGGGCCCGGAGCTGGTTGAGCAGTCTGGTTGAGGGGCTTGGTCAGAAATGGATGATAAGGCTGGGGATGAGCTTAGGTTGGGGGGACATGACTTAGATCCAGACTTCCCAAGGCTGAACGCCCCCCTCTTTTTCCCTGTAGCAACCTTTCTCTTCCTCTTCCTCCTGCAGCAGCCATGGTCTGGAAGAAACTGAGCTCTGGCAACTTCTCCACCTGCCCCAATGGTTCCCTCCAGTGGATATGGGATGTGTTTGGCGAATGTGCCCAGGATGGCTGGGATGAGGCCAGCGTGGGGCTGGGCTTGATCTCCATTCTCTGCTTTGCTGCAGCCACCTTCCCGTGAGTCCTGGAGGGGGGCGTCGCTGGGTGTGCTCAGGGCAGGGTTTCAGAGGTGGGGCTCTTGGGATTGCTCAGAGGAGGGGCTGCCTGGGTTGCCCAGCGCCTCTCCAGACTCAAGGCCAAGTGTGCTCCCTCCTCCACCCAGACTTACTGACTCCCAGCCCACGTAGAGGGTCCTCCCCTTCTCCCTGGCCGAACCCCGACCTAGGCCCCACCTTGTGCTGGGCAATGCTGACACACACAAGATAATAATATTTGCTACTGTTCATTGAATGTCTACTATGTTCCTGGCTCATTTCTAAGCACTTGACCTGTTTTTACCTCATTTAGTCCTCATACAACCCTGTGAGACATGTACAATTACTATCTCTACTTTACAAGGAAACAGAAACCCAGAGAGGTTAAGCAACTTGCTCTAGGTTGTACAGCTAGTGAGAGGAGGCAGAGAGTGTGAGGCTGGGATGTACCGAATACAGCTTCTGTCATGTTGACAGTCTGGTGGTGGCTATAGGCAGCGATTACAAAATAATGTGGCCACTGCTGTCATTGGGGAACAAAGGCACACCTCCCTGGGCAAGTCATTTCACTGCTCTGTGCCTCAGTTTCCTCATCTGTCAAATGGGAATATTGTCCCCTACCTTATAGGCTAGCATGATGGAGTGTGTATAAAGCACCCAGCTCAGGGCCTTCACATAATGTATGCACGATGCCACGGCTGGACAGAGTGTATGAGGGTCAGGGGGACAGGATGAGGAGAGGTCAAAGAGGTCATCAAGGGCCCTGTAATATAAGAGCATTCTTCACCCTTGGGAAACTTATTCTTTATAATGAGGGAGAAACATAAGGTGTTATCTTTAATTTTTTAAAGAATTTACTTGAAAAAAATAGCTTTATTGAGAGATAATTCACATTGCCATACAATTAGCCCACTTAAATGTATAATTCAACGGCTTTAGGATATCTAGAGTTGTGTAATCATCACCAGTCCATTTTAGACTGTCTTCATCTCCCTAAAAAGAAAGCCTGAGAGAAATGAGTCATTTCTCATTTCTCCCTCAGGCTCCTAGCTCCTGGCAACCACCATCCATCTGCTTCCTGTCTCTATAGATTTGCCTTTTCTGAACATTCATACAAATGGAATCACATAGGATATGAAAGAATTGCTTCTTTCACTTAACGTAATGGCGTCAAAGCTCATCCATGTTGTCACACATGTCAGTACTTCTGTTACATGTCCCAGTAATATTCCATTTTAGGATAATACTGCCTTTGGTTTATTCACTGAACTGTTATAATTAAGGCTGCTGTGAACTTTCATGTACAAGTTTTCATGGGGACACATGTTTTTACTTCTCTTAAGTATATACCCAAGTAGTGGGATTGCTGGGTCATACGGTAACTCAATGTTTAACTTTTTTTAGAAATTGCCAGACTGTTTTCAAAGCAGTTGCACTATTTTATATTCCCACTAGCAGTAGTGTATGAAGGTTCCAATTTCTCCAAATCTTTATCAACACACATTTTCTACCTTTTTTGTTTTATAGCCATTATAGCGGGTTCACAGTGTTATCTCATAGTTTTGATTTATATTTCCCTGATGGCTAGTGATGCTAAGCAGCGTTTCATGTGATCATTGGCCATTTGTGTATCTTCTTTGGAAAGAGATCTATTCAGATCCTTTGCTGTTTTTCAGTTGTATTATTTGTCTTAAAACTTTGTTGAGTTTTAAGAGTTCTTTATATATTCTAGACACAATTTTACCTATCAGATAAATTATTTGCAAGTATTTTCTCCCATTCTGTGGGTTCTCTTTTGTTCTAAGAGGTTTATAGATTTATCCAATGTGTGTTTTTTCCCCCACACCAGCAGTTAACTTAGTTCTGACACTGTCTACCTGGAGATTGTATCAAATCCCACAGCTTAAGGGCTGTCTCAAAAGACTGCTCCCCGACCCCTTCAGATGCCGATTATAAGTCCAGGTTGTCACCTGTGCTTCTGATCTATACATGTCAGTTTTCAGCAGCTCCTCGCTGGGTGTGACAAATTTGCTAGAGCATCTCACAGAACTCAGGAAACATTTTACTTACTAGATCACTGGTTTGTTATAAAAGGCTGTAACTCAGGAACAGCCAGATGGGAGAGATGCAGAGGGCAAGCAAGTTACAGGGAAGGGGCACAGAGCTTCCATGCCCTCTGAGCACACTATTCTCCCAGTGTCTCCACATGTTCATCAACTCAGTTCTCCAGACCTGCTCTTCTGGGTTATTATGGAGACTTCATTACACATGCCTGATTATTGAAATCATTGGCCCTTGATGACTGAACTCAGCCTCTAGCCCCTGTCTCCTCCTAGAGGGAAAAGAAAGTTTCAGCCCTCTAATCACGTACTGGCAACCAGCCCCGATCCGTAGGTGACCTAGAGTCTGCGAAAGTTGCCTCACTGACATAACAGAAGGCGCCTTTACCGCTCTGGTCACTTAGGAAATTCCAAGGTTTTTAGGAGCTCTGTGCCAGGAATTGGGAAGAAGATTGAATATATATTTCCGATTATAAATCACAGTATCACAGATTGTTACATTTAGGTCTTTGATCTAGCTTGAGTTTTATATTTTCTATATGGTATAAGGTAGGGGTCTAACCTCATTCTTTCACACGGGGATATCCAGTTGTCCTGGTACCTTGTGTTAAATAGACTATCCTTCCTCCACTGAATTGTCCTAGCAGACTGTTGAGTGCTTGACATTTTTACTGGGTCACCTTGTCCCCGGTGCTGTACGAGGCGTAGTGCAAGGAGACTAAGCATGCTGCCCTTGCCACTGCAGAACTTCCATTCTGGTTCCCTCTAGAAACCAATCTGGGAGTCCCAGGGAAGAAGGCCTGGAGGGACAAGGAGAGTTTGGAGGCTGTACAAGCCGCCCAGCAAGCAGTGATGTCCTGGGGCACTGGAGAGGCCTGTAGGAGGCTGGCTGACAGGCATGGGTGACGGATGGAGGCCAAGGGAAAGCAAAACCCTGTCCCAGGGTGAGAGCCTTTCTAGGGCCACCTGAGGAGCTGGCTGGGGCTGCAGCACAATGCTGGCCCTGCCTGAGCCTGGCTGATGAACCAGTGCAGGGGGCAGAGGCCCGGGAGAGAGTGCGAGGGACCCCAGGGAGGGCAGCCACCTTCCTGCCCCTCCTGAGGACTTGGCCTTTCCTGGCTCTGACAGAATCAATTGCCCTGCCATTTGTAGAAGCACATCACGTCACAGTGTCCTAGAAGGACCTTCAGGGGTCATGGGATAAACCTTAAGGGCCTTCTCAGTGCCAGACCTGTGCTGGGCACTGTCCCTGCCCTCAGGAAGCTTGAGTCCAGCAGGGACGGGGATGCTGGGTTACAAAGGAGGAAGTAGAAGATGTTGGCAGGCTCGGAAGGCCCTGTAGGAACTGGTATTCCCCGAGTCATGGAAGACAGGAGAGCATGGGCTGGCCAGGGGTGGCTGGAGTTCCTGGCACAGGGAGCAGCAGTGCTGATGGAGGGGGTGGGGCAGAGCAAGGGCGTGGGTCCCCGCTGAGGACCAGTGGGAGGCGCTAAAAGGTTTTGGCAAGACTGGGGTTTTAGAAAGATCCTTGAGGGGGAGGGCAGATTGGAGGGGAACAGGGCATGGCTGGGAGACCCACAGAGGTGGGTGGAGTGGGGCTCAATCGTGATGGAGTTGGAAGGATGGCTGCAGGGAGAACAGGGCCATGCCCAGATCTCTTAATTTCTGGTTTGGGTGATGGGGGCGATGAGGTGCCATTGAGTTACCTTTTACTTATTTAAATACATGCAGATGATTAAAAAGACACTTAAACAGTAAATGGCAGTTGTGTAATGGTTAAGAGCAAGACTGGAGCCCCAGGGTCTGGGTGTGAATCCTGGCACAACTTGCTTGGTGCCCAATGAGGAGGATCATCAAACAGTCAAATAGACTTGACTTATGGGGGGCTGTGAGCACTGAGTGAGCCGATGCACATGAAGGGCTCAGAACCATGCCTGAGGCCCCCTTAGCTCTTGTCCGCATTAGGTCCCTTGAGACCTGGCCAGAGGACCAAGGAGGACCTTTGGAAAAGCAACCAGGGCACCAGAGGCCACCGGCTTTTGAAAGAGAGCTGCAGGGGCCACAGCCCGCCCTTCCTCTTCCCCTTCGAAGATAACAGGCTGTGGTTCAGTGCATTGGCCCACTTATCACCCACCCCTCCTGGAGACAGGGCAGCGCTCTGGCCTTAGCCTTGTGGCCACTGCTACCATTCTTTCAAACCCCCATCCTCTCCACAGAAGAAAGATTCCAGGGTCTCTATAGAGTGATTCTCAGGGCCTGACACAAAACTTCAGGGCCCTGTAAAAATCCCAGGTCCGCACTGGGAGACCCCAGGGTGCTATGGAGCAGCATCTGAATAATGCTACGGATCTCTGGGAAGATGCACATCTCTTAGAGTTCCTGGGTTGCAAGGGATTCATCCTTGCAAGAGTCCCCAGAGGGTCAAGACAGGCTCATGCGGGAAGGACTTTGGGAAGGACTGCCTCCCAGGCGGTTCCCATGGCTGTCCCGTCCAGGGCCTGTTCCGTCCTTGACACTCCGAGCTAGCATCACAGCCCTTAGCCTCTGGGCATCTCTTCCTCCTTGTCCACAGCCAGTACATCAAGGCCTGCAAAGCGGGCAACATGGACCAGGCCCTGTCTCTGTGGTTCCTCCTGGGCTGGATCGGCGGAGACTCCTGCAACCTCATCGGCTCCTTCCTTGCTGACCAGCTGCCCCTGCAGGTAGGCCGGCCCCCGGACTGAGTGGGTTGCCTGAGGACAGCTATGGCAGAGGCCTCGGGGCAGCCAGCAGAAGAGGCCCAGGCTCTATAGCTGACACATCATTCCATCTCGTGAGGGCTCCACACTGCACAGGGAGCCAGTAGGCTGGTCAGTGCCCTTCTCTGGGCCTCGGTTTCCCTACCTGCAAAAGGAGTGCATCAAACCAGAGGATCAGCGAAGTCTTGGACATGTGAAATGCTCTGATCCTGATTAAGTTCTCAGGGTGTCGGGTCCTGGAGGAGGAAGAGGAGGAGGCGGCGGCGGCAGTGGCGGCGGAATGTTTTCTCTTGGGAGGCCCAGGTGCCATCATTTGTGGCTGTGCAGAGCTGGGAATCACAACCAGGAATCCATCGTCTTCCCAAGCAAGATTGTAGAATCTAAATTGCTCCTGTATCAGGCCAAACCAGAGCCCTCACTTAACTTCTGAATCCTGTTTTACCCTGACTAGTAATCCTAGCCACCATTTCCTCCATCTGCCCAGGCCAGGCACTTAGCCAGGCCCTTTGCCCGGCTGATCTCTAGTCCTGCTAGGTAGGAACTCTGAGCCCCTGCTCTCCAGATGAGAAAGCAGAAGCTCAGAGACGTGCAATGAACTTGCTCAGGGTCACCCAGCTGGGTGGTGGCCGAACACTGCCCTGGTGCTGGGCTGTGGTCCCCAGTGTTGAGACCCAGAGCTGATGCCCCAGGCCCCTGCTTCTCCTGCAGACCTACACGGCGGTGTATTACGTCTTGGCGGACCTGCTCATGCTGTCGCTGTACTTCCATTACAAGTTTAAGAAGCGCCCCTCCCTGTGTGAGTATGATGGTCCCTGTGTCGGGTGCTCTGGGGGCAACCAGCAGGGCCAGGAGCTTGGGAGGAAGCAGGTTTCCCACTGCTGGGTGATAAACACACCCTCAGAAAGGCCTCCTAGGGCCTCATCTGAAAGCCTGAGCCCGGTTGGCCAAGATAGAGGCTGGAAGGCAGTGAGCACATCCGGGCAGGACCACGTGGTGTTCCATCACCTCAGCAAACATGGCTGCAGCTGCTGCTCTGGGTCCGCCCTGGGCTTGGAGCTGAGGAAGCAAGGACGAGGCACACAGGCTGTCACTGCCCCTGAGGGTTCAGAAGGGGCAATCACAGAGGTCAGGTCAAGGCACTTGGGGGTGGGGTTGTCCATTAGCATTTCTACTTTGGATAACCCCCCCCCTTCATGACGCTACTGCCCTCAATGTTTCACTTTTACAACCCTAGGAGCAGGGGGTACTGTTATACCCACTCCACAGATGAGGAATTAAAGCTCACAAAGGTCAAGGCGCTTGCTCAGGGTCACACAGCCACTATGTGGTAAGGCCAGGACTCAAGTCCTAGTCTGTCCATTGCCACTCAGATACTTAACCTCGACTTCCCTCCTGCCTCACGTCCAGTGTCTGCCCCCATCAATTCTGTGCTCTTGTTCACCGTGGCGATGGTGTGTATCACGCCGCTGCTGAGCAGCGCTGGCCCTGCGGCTGCCCCGAGGGAGGTCTTCCGGGCTCGGACGCTCCTGTCTGTGGAGCCGGCCAGTAAGGTGAGGTGTGGGTGTGTGACGGTGGGGGTGCTGGGGGGCTGGCTCAGCTCAAAGGCCCTCCAGAAGGGTCTGGGGGATCTCAGCCCACACCTCCGGCCCCTGTGAGGCACTGAGTGCCCGCTTCTGCCCTCTCAGCCCTTCACTCGGCAGGAGATCCTCGGCTTCGTCATCGGCTCCGTCTCCAGCGTGCTCTACCTGCTTTCTCGGCTGCCTCAGATCCGAACCAACGTGAGCCTGAGGCAGGGGCTGGTGGGGCCAAGTGGAAGAGCAGCCAGCCTGGCCGCTCAGCCCTCTGGGTTAAGGAGGAGCATGGTGTGTGGGGAGGGGTAGTGGGGGAGAGGGGTCGATGCAGAAGGTCTGCGTCCAGACTCACTGTTGGCTTGGGAAAGTTAATCCAGTTCTCCAAGCTTCAGTTTCTGCTTCTGGAGAACGGGCATGAGGGGGCCTGCTATGAAGGTTACGTGGGACCCATGTGCGTCTCAGAGAAGTAGAAGGTCAGGTGGAAGCCAGGGGTTGAGCTTAGAGGCCTGAGAGGGGAGGAGAAGGTGGGGAATTGGGTGCGGGAGGCTTGCTGAGCAACGTGGGTCATCATGGGCTGGAGAACAGGTATTGTGAGGCCTGCAGGCATGGCGCAGCCACAGTCTCCTGCCGACCTGGGTGGCAGAAGAGGTCAGAGAGGTTACTAGGGTGGCGATGGTGGGGAGGCCCCGAAAGGGGCCATCTGTGTGCCAGGCCCATGTTGGCCACTGGGCACAGTGAAAAATCTGCACAGTACATACAGTGTGATGGAGCAGACACGCGGACAATTATAATTCGGAGTGACAAGAGCCCTGTTTGAGGTCTCTGACTTCTCACCCCTCACCTCTAGTTCCTGCGGAAGTCGACCCAGGGCATCTCCTACTTGCTGTTCGCGTTGGTGATGCTGGGGAACACGCTGTATGGGCTTAGTGTGCTGCTCAAAAACCCTGAAGTGGGCCAGAGTGAGGGCAGCTACCTTCTGCACCACCTGCCCTGGCTTGTGGGTAGCCTGGGTGTCCTGCTGCTTGACACCATCATATCCTTCAGGGTGCTCAGGGTAGGTGTGGGAGATGAGGGGGCATGGCAGCAACAGCCTCTGCCTGCACACGGCATCAATGTCCATCCTTCTATCCATCCATTCATCCATCCATGCATCCATCCATCCATCATCCATCTATCCATCTATTCATCCATCCATCCATCCATCCATCCATCCATCCATCCATCTATCCATCATCCATCCATCCTCCCATCCATCATCCATCTATCCATCCATCATCTATCCATTCATCCATCCATCCTCCCATCCATCCATCCATCATCCATCCATTCATCCGTCCATCCTCCCATCCATCCATCATCCATCCATCCATCCATCATCCATCCATCCATCCATCTATCCATCATCCATCCATCCTCCCATCCATCATCCATCTATCCATCCATCATCTATCCATTCATCCGTCCATCCTCCCATCCATCCATCATCCATCCATCCATCCATCATCCATCCATCCATCCATCCATCCATCCATCCAAGGGTCGAACCTCCTGGGTGCCTGGCACCCCACTCAGAACCAGATCTAGTCGGGAGCCAGAGCAGAAGGGCCCTTGCCCCAGGAGGCCTGCAGCTCAGTGGGGGAGGCAGTCAGCACCCGTGTACTTACACATCGTTGCCTCACTGTAGCTGCAGTGGAGTGAGCACTGCGAAGACCTGCAGGGTGTGTAACCAGGGGCTGCCTTGGTTTGGAGGTCAACCACAGCTTCCGCAAGCGCCATTTCAACTGTCCTGATGGAGAAGTTAGGCAAGGCAGAGAGGATGTTCCAGGGAATAGGAGAGAAATCGGCCTATCCAGGCCAGCAGAATGAAGGCTGGAACCCAGAGGCGGCAGTGCCCGGGAGCCCCGGGGGAGGGGCTGCAGCTGGAGACCTCGGCCCCTGGGGGCGGCGAGAGGAGGGGAGCTGAAAGGCGCTCCAGACAGAGCCTCAGGCCCCCAGGTTCAACCTTCTCTGCTTGGTTTGGCCTTGACATTGGCCCCTGCAGATCTCCATACAGTTCCTGGTGTACAGGAACACCTCCACTGCCTCAGAGCGCCAGTCCCTTCTCCCCCGCTGACCAGACCAGGTCAGGCCCAGGACGGATGACCGGGACTTCAGGGGCCACACCCCGAATGGGGAAGTGTGGGCAGTATGGTGCTGCTGCCCCTGGCCTGGGCCGTGGAGGAAGCTGGGGTCGGGGGGCCTAGACCTCTGAGCCCAGCCTCCACCCTCCATGCCTCTGAAACCTCCTGGGCTGACTCCTCCAGGAGCCCGGACTGACTCTTTTGGGAGCAAGACGGCCCCCAGGGCTAGACCCCCCTCCCCCCAGTCCCCCATTTGGGATGCACCTTCCAGGATCTGAAGCAGCTATGCCTGGGAGCTTCGGGGAGGGGCTGCAGCTCAATACTCGGTGTCTCAGGAGACAGTGCGGCTGCCCCTCGGCTCATCTACCTCATCTGCTGCTCACCCCTGGGAGGGGCATGGCTGTGACTGGACACACCCTGGGCTGTCCTGTTGGCTGCAGACAGCCTAGGAACGGTACCTCCCAGCGAAGCCCGTTTCTGCTGCTCTTTCCCCCGGGTGCTGGGGTCCAGGCTGCTCTGGGGATCAGTAGTGGATGGGGAGTGGGGCCGTACCTTCTGGTCCCAGGTGGGGCCTACAGGCTCAGGATGTGGGCGAGCTGAGCAGGAAGGGACTGTGTCTGCTGACCAGCCTCCCAGGGGCCTCCAGCCTGCTGTGTGACAGACCCCACACCTGGTGGGGGGGACACAGCAGCAAGCATGACACTCCCCACCGGGGGCCCTGCACCTCTCGCTCTGAAAGCAGCAGAATAGTTGAGGTTCAGGTCTTGGATCTGCATCTTAGCTTCTCTGTGCCTCAGTTGGCTTGTCTGGGAAAGGGGATGACAATACTGTCACTTCGTCCATCCTTGTCAGATGGCATGATTACAGTGGTTAGCCCCAAAGGCTGGCATGCAGTAAGCTCAGTGAGGTGTGGTATTTTTAGTTGGAGGACAGGGACATCCAGATCTCCCTGGAGACCAGGGAGGCCTTCCCAGAGAAGGCGATGTGGCAGAGAAGTGGGCAGGAGGTGACCAGGGGGAAAGGTGGGAAATTTTGCAGGCAGGAGGGAAAGGAAGCTTAAGAGCAGGTGGCAGAGGACAGGGCTCAGCCCTGAGCTCTAGTTCCTGGGCCCCAGACTCTGTTCTGAGTCCACCTTCTTGCTGGCCATGACCCTGTGGGTGCCTGAAGACAGTGTGGCCAGGTCCCGGGAGCCACCTGCGTGAGCTGGTGCCAGGTGAGGCTGAGGGCTTGTCTAGGAGAGAAACTGTGTCTCAGCTTTTCAAAATTTTACTTTTCCCATCCCAGAGAAAGGAAGGAGCCTGGCAGTGGGACTGCAGCCTTCACTGTGAGGGCCACCATGGGCCACAAACCCTTGCCCTCAATTTGGGGAAGCAGTTGCTGGCCCCAGTGGTAAGGGTTGTGACCCTGAAGGTAGAAAGTGCCATGGGAAGGAATTATGACCAGCCTGGGACACTCAACCAGGGAAAGCTTCATGGAGGAGTGGCCCTGGAGCTGACCTTGAAAGCAGAGGGAGGTCAGAAAAGGCAAAGGCCTGGGCGTAGGAGTCCGGGCTGTCCCAAAGTAGCACCACTGAGAAGAGCCTTGGAAACCAGGCTAAGGACAGGGTCCTGGGTGCAGGGCCAGCCCAAAGCTGCTCACGGCAGGTGACTGGGTTTGGCTGGAGGGAGAGAAGGGAATCAGGGTCTGGGGAAACCAGGGAGGGGGCACCTCTGGGGTTGAGGTGGTCAGTGAGAACAAATAGAGCCAATCTCTGTCACCCGTGTCCTAGGGCAGGCCCACATGTGCCCTGGCATGCAGCTGACTTTATTGAGCACCTGTGTGCTGGGCTAGGCATGCTCTCATTTGGGCCTCACAACCCCTTTTGCGGGAGGTGCTGTTATAGCCATTTTACAGGTGGAAAAACAGGTGCTCAGGAATCAAGCAACTTGCCTAAGGTTGTCCTCGAATGAAATGCCTCCCGTGATGCCTGGCACCAGGGCTCCCAGATCCAGGGGGCACAGGAAGAGCTGGCTAGCAAGCAGGTGCATTCCGCGACAAAGCAGAAGGAATGGCCCTGTGGCCACAGGGCTCCATCCCCAGCACTGTCCCAGGCCCTCTTGGCAAGGGTTCTTCAGCGAACTGGGGGTTTTGGAGCCACTGGACTACATGGCCTTTGGACCCCAAAGCTGAAAAAGGGGAAACCCACAACCCACCCTTCTCTTCACCCCTTCTACTGTTGGCCTTGATTTTCATCACTGCTGGATGACGGGACCGAGAGGTTCCTGGGTACAGCCAGGCGCTAGTCCCAATTGTCCCGCACATAGAGGTGCTAAGTTGGTTGAGGTAATGTTAGCTCCAGATTAACTCAACTGGTAACTACTGATAGATCCCCCAGCCCTGGGACACCCCGAGGACACAGACACTCACTGGTAGCTCTGCCCAGCACATGTTAAGTGCTCAGTAAAGATTCCTGTCGTATCAGCGAGAACTTTCCCACGCCCACCAGGCAGCATGGGCAGGGCCTTCCATCCTGCTCCCTGGTACACAGTAGGTGCTCAGTAACTGTTCGGTGAATGAATGAACAAGTGAATGCCTAGAACACTGTCCCTTGAGGGGACAGGCTCTAACAACGTGTACACTTGAAATGGGGGAATTGTATGGTATGTGTGTATCCCAATAAAGCTATTTGAAAAAAATATCAAATTAGCTATTAAAATGTGAATAGGAAGTTATGGATAATGAGACTATATTACATCTTTATAGTCATTTCTACTCATAACAAAGTAATCAGAATGAGGACCTGTGGCCAGTCAGATGCGGGAGAGAAGTAAAGGGATTTCATTCACTAGGCCAAATATATAATATATATGATCTCATCTCTTCATTCTATAGTGTTTATTGAGCACTTAAACTTAAGTATCACAAAAAAGGTAGAAAACAGTGATATGATGGTGTATATCTATGATGTAATATTTTAAGACTGAAAATAAGAGAACTGTAAAAAAAATTGTACCATATTTATATTTGATGCTTAATTTCTTTAAATTGAGTTCATATAAAATATATTCTGAACTTCATCCTTTTAAAGTGAATAATCAGAGTAGAAGTGATATGAATTATAGCCAAACTTTTCATAAAAGAAAAAAAATACTACCAACTCATTCTAAAGAAATATTGAATAGAATCATCTGCCTCCCAAAGGACCTACAAGTGGACTGCAAAATCAGTAACAAAGCTGTGACTCAAAATACCGTAGCGAAGCAGGTAAGTTTTGATTGACTTTAACGATGAGGTGTGATTAATCTGGTTTTCCTACTGAAATTTTACAAATTTTAGACTTGTAAAATTTCAGTTATATAGAAAAAGGAAAATTATGAGATTTTAATGTGTGATATTTAACTTCTACAATATGTAATTTATATTATTTAACTCATTATTTGGAATCAAACTATTAAATTTAAAAAATTTTGCTGTGTTGGCCTAAAAAACTATTGCTGAGAGAATAGGAAAAAAAAGCTCTCTTGGAATCAAAACTGGGGCAGGAGGGGCCAGCCAGGGATAGTGGACTGCGCAGATGGGGGCACATATGCTGGCCCCTGCTTACTACTGAGTGGGAGCAGACGTGTCTACCTGTTTGGCCCGTGGTGAGGGTTCAGCGTCAATACCAGCCCCCAGGCCCAGAGACTGGCCCCAGATAGGTGTTCAACACAGGTGCCCTCTCTCTTCCAGCCTCTTTAAGGGTCACTGGTTCCTGGGGGTAGAATCCACTCACTAGCAAGCAGCAGAGGAAGCTATGGGCAAGCTGTGGGAGCTCCCAGGAGGGAAGGAAAAGGTAAGCAGTGGGGCTGGAGGGAGAGACGCTGAGGCTGCTCCAGGGATCTCAGGAGTAGGAAAGCTTCCCAGTGGGAATGAAGCTGTTCCAACTGTTTTAAGAGTCTCTTAAGAGAAAACATCTTAATTGGCTTAGTGTGGGTCATGCAAGGGATGCCTGGACTGCACTGCACCCAGGCTGCGTGGAGAGGTGGCAGCCTAGAAGGAAGAGGGGCCTGTGAGGCCAAGTCCACAATGCCTGCCCCTCCCCACCCGCAGTAGGGGCCCCACGCAGCCCGTCACGTACATAGCAGCTGCGCAGCCAGTGGTTTGAATGGATGAGACAGTTTGGAGATGAGTCTTGGTTTTTGGGGCCCCAGAAGGACCGCTGGAAGGGCTCCAAGAGGCTGATGGGGGTGAAAGGGCTTTGGCGAGCCAGGAAGTGCCCCAGGTTATCCACCTGAGCCCTCACACTTCTAGGTAAGTCCGGGCCCCAGGAGTGCCGGGTAAACTATGCCAAGCTGAGAACTGAAGGCGGTCTCCCAACTCCCAGACCAGGGCTCCTGCCACTCCACCCTCACCAAGGCTGCCTCCAGAGGACACCTTCCGGAAGCCTCTAGTGAGCCCATGGCAGGGGGGCAGGTAGGAGGGCATGCCTGGCTGCTGCAGAAACTGGGGAGCCAACACCTGGACCCAGGGGGCTAGTTAGCCCTCCAGAGCTCCCGGGTGCCATTTTCTTGTCCTTCCTTCCCATCTTAAGAATGCTCAAGGGGCCCTGCCAGACAGCTGGGCGCCTACTTCAGTGGGAGGGAGTAAGGAGTGGCGGTGAGCTGGCCCCGAGCCAGACCAGAAGCACCTTCTTGCTTCCAGCCGCCCCTCACCTAGGACACCGGGTATCAGAGCCCACTGCCCAATCTCACCAGCCGGATTTAGCCTCAAAAAATGAGCAGTATTGGCTTCTGTGGAAGACTACGGAAGGCAGAGTCAGCGATGGCCTGGCATATTCCGCAAGTCACAATTTGTTTCAAATGTTTAGGTCACATGATTACACAGCTAATAAAAACAACCGACTCAGCATTCCAGAAGAAGAACATCAAAAAACTTCAACAAAGATCCTGGCGCTG